TTCCCAAAATTTAAAAGTTTTCCAGTGGAAAACAGCAACATAAAAAATCTTGGAAATCAACCCACAAACTGAATTGGTTGAAAATGCAATCTCACACATTTCAAAGTTTTCCTGGAAAACTAGTGAAGGAAAAATTTTGAAACTTTTTGCATGTAAAGAGGAAGGCGAGAAGCTCATTTTCCTAAAATTTCAAAATTTTCCAGTGGAAAACAGCAACATGAAAAATCTTGGAAATCAGCCTACAAAAACTGAATTAGTTGAAAATACAGTCTCACACATTTCAATGTTTTCCTGGGAAACTAGTGAAGAGAACATTTTGAAACTTTTTGCATGTGAAAAGGAAGGTGAGAAGCTCATTTTCCCAAAATTTCAAAATTTTTCCAGTGGAAAACAGCAACATGAAAAATCTTGGAAATCAACCTACAATAACTAAATTAATTGAAAATACAGTCTTACACATTTCAAAGTTTTCCTGGAAAACTAGTGAAGGGAAAATTTTGAAACTTTTTGTATGTAAAGAGAAAGGTGAGAAGCTTCAATCTTGAAAATCAACCTACAAAAACTGAATTAGTTGAAAATAAAGTCTCACACATTTCAAAGTTTTCCTAGAAAACTAGTAAGTAAAGGGAAAATTTCGAAAATTTTTGCATGTGAAGAAGAAGGTGAGAAGCTCATTTTCCCTCTCTATAGGTCCCTAGTTCCCAGTAGATAAGAAATTGGAATTTCACATTTCTCTAGTACACTTTAAACTTTATAAAAACTGGAAATGAAATTTTAAAACTTTTCCAGTTTTTCTTATAAACTTTCTACATCAACTTAAGCTTTGGATGATCATGATTTACACTTTTTTACTTTAGGAGAACCGGGAATAAAATTCTAATGCTTATCCCAGTTGAATTCTGGCTCTATGATATACCTACCTACAATAAATTGATTTTCTTATTGGAATTTGAATTTTAGCTCTACAAGTTCCCTAGCTTTTAGTAGATAAGAAATTGGAATTTTACATTTCTCTTAGTAAACTTTAGACTTTATAAAAGCTGGAAATGAAATTTTAAAACTTTTCCAGTTTTCTTGATAAATTTTCTACATCAATTTAAGCTTGGAATCTTGATCTTGGGGCACATAAAACATCAACGTCATTTATATAAACGCACTTTCAGAAATCAGCAAAACCATCCGCTACTCCTTGAGAATCCACATAGGTAATTCATTGGTTTTATCATTAGCAATTTTCAATTTTAGAGACTGCAGCTCTATTTAAAAATGACTTTCTTTACAATTAATAAAAACTATACACTTCTAAAGAGAGAACAATTTCGTCTAATCATTAATCTATAAGCTTTTTGGGGTTGACAATTTCGAGTATTAAATGTCAGATTTAAGATTAATGTAATGAAATTAAAAAGCCTACATCACCAAAACACCTAAAAACTACAAAAAAAAAAAAATGGTATATATGAATATTTGGCAATGAACCTCTAAAATCAATGCAAAAAAAGTGTCCGTGTAAATTCAAGCCTGTAACTCACGTAATATTCGATATGGATGGGATCATTTTCGATACCGAGCCAATTAATCAAGAAGCATTTATCCAAACGCTTGCCGCATATGGAATCCAACCAGATTACAACTTATACGCCTCAGTATGTGGTACCCCTAGTTCTAATATAGCTGAGACTACTTTGAAAAAATATCCTAATTTAAAAATTACTCCTGAAGAGTTTATTGAAAAGTTCAGGCACCACGCTAAACTAGGTTACAATAAGAACTTAGAACTAATACCAGGCGTTGAAAAAATGATAAAACATTTACACTCCAACAATATCCCATTGGCTATAGCCACTTCTTCATCTCAAGAATCCGCTTTACAAAAACTGCAAAAATTCCCAGAAGTTCACCAACTCTTCAGACACATTGTATTTGGCACGGATCCTGAAATAAAACATGGCAAACCTGCGCCAGACACTTATTTACTATGTGCAGCCCGATTTCCTGTAAACCCATCGAAATGTTTGGTTTTTGAAGATTCCACAAATGGAATGCGAGCGGCTTTGGCAGCTGGAATGCAAGTGGTTCTAATTCCTAATGAAAATGTTAAAAAAGAGGATTGGGCCAAAGCTACATTGAAAGTTGAATGTTTTGATGATGTGAGGCCAGAGTTTTTTGGATTACCTGCAATTTAAATGTAATATATTTTTATACCATTGTTTGTTATTTATTAGCAGGCAAATAGAAACTTTTACAGTATTGCAATAAAAATCTGGTAGGCACCAATCAAGATTTCATTAAATTTCAGCCTCAGAGTGGGGGGATTATTTTTTTGTATCTTGGTCAGAAATTGTATTAAAACTTTCCAAAATAGACTACCCTGTATACATTTTCTGTTTTCCATGAAAAAAAAAAAAAAATGTCGAAGACTACAGATAGATGCAAGTCTTTCTTGAAAAGAACGGAGAACCATTATAATCCTTCAGTTCAGGGTAGTTCTCTGTGGATCCTTAGAAAAGTGTTAACATAGCTGGGAATGTTATTCTATGAGAATGTTAAGGTTACCAATTATGAAAAATTCTATCAAGAAAATGCCCCATCTTATCAACAAATTTCTCATACACTTCACTTGGACTTTCCTGGACAAAGTAAGCCACTACCATATTAAGAAAAGACACAGCATGTATCTTTATCTTTATGCACAATATCTCCTGATTTTCATCAAACATCTTAACTTCCGAGACTATGAAAGTTTCTCTTAAGAGCAATAATACCCCTCCTCCTTGGGTTTTATTAATGATCTTTTCTAAATGTGGTTATATTCTGAAAACTGAATTCAAAATAACTCATTCAACCAAGTTTCAGAAATTGATATAATATCGTAATCATTACTTACTTAATATACAGGGTGAGTCCGAAATAGGTGCGCATTTTGCAAGGGGTAAGCCACCATCCCAGAATTGATGCAAACAATTCCTCAAAGGGGATTTTTTTGCGCATAATTCCTCAAAATTCCTGCAAATTCCTCCAGATACCCTATCACAAATTCCTCCAAATACCTCATCACGAACTTCTTCAAATACCCCACAAAAAAAAGGGAAAATTTTGAAACTTTTTGCATGTGAAGAGGAAGGTGAGAAGATCATTTTCCCAAAATTTAAAAGTTTTCCAGTAGAAAACAGCAACATGGAAATTAACCTACACAAACTGAATTAGTTGAAAATACAGTCTCACATATTTCAAAGTTTTTCTGGAAAACTAGTTGAAGGGAACATTCTGGAACTTTTTGCATGTAAAGAGGAAGGTGAGAAGCTCATTTTCCCAAAATTTCAAAATGTTTCATTGGAAAACAGCAACATGAAAAATCTTGGAAGTCAACCTACAATAACTGAATTAATTAAAAATACAGTCTCACATATTTCAAAGTTTTCCTGGAAAACTAGTAAAGGAAAAATTTTGAAACTTTTCGCATGTAAAGAGGAAGGTGAGAAACTCATTTTCCCAAAATTTCAAAATTTTCCAGTGGAAAACAACCACATGAAAAATCTTGGAAATTAGCCTACAATAACTAAATTAATTGAAAATCCTACAGTCTCACACGTTTCGAAGTTTTCCTGGAAAACTAGTGAAGGGAACATTTTGAAACTTTTTGCATGTAAAGAGGAAGGTGAGAAACTCATTTTCCCAAAATTTCAAATTTTTCCAGTCGAAAATAACAACATGAGGAATATTGGAAATCAACGTACAATAACTAAATTAATGGAAAATACAGTCTCACATATTTCAGAGTTTTCCTGGAAAACTTGTGAAGGAAAAATTTTGAAACCTTTTGCATATAGAGAGACAGGTGAGATGCTCATTTTCCCAAAATTTCAATTTTTTCCAGTAGAAAATAGCAACATGAAAAATCTTGGAAATCAACCTACAAAAACTGAATTAGTTAAAAATAGAGTCTCACACAGTTCAGAGTTTTCTTGGAAAACTAGTAAAGGGACAATTTTGAAACTTTTTGCATGTAAAGAGGAAGGTGAAAAGCTCATTTTCCCAAAATTTCAGAATTTTTCAGTGGAAAACAACAACATAAAAAATCTTGGAAATCAACTTACAATAACTGAATTAATTGAAAATACATTCACACAAATTTCAAAGTTTTCCTGGAAAACTAGTGAAGGGAACATTTTGAAACTTTTTGCATGTAAAGAGGAAGGTGAGAAGCTCATTTTTTCAAAATTTCAAATTTTTCCAGTGAAAGTAAGTAAGATGAAAAATTTTGGAAATCAACCTACAAAAACTGTATTCATTATTCTTTTGAATTTTTTAAATTTGACAATTTCCTTTAAATTCCTCACAAATTCGATATAAATTCCTCCAAATTTCCTATAATTTCCCCAAATTCTCATAAATTCGGATGAATTCCTACAAGTTCCCCACAAATTCCTCTAAATTTCCCACATTTTTGGCAAAGAATTCCTACGTGGTTTGCCCCTTGGCATTTTGTCATGATAGATAGAGTACACTTCAGTAGGACAATAACTTTATGTATGGGTACATAAATCCGCAAACGTCTTGTTAAGAAAATACAGAGTGTTGAAATTTTCGGAAAATTTTGACTTTTTGTCTCAATCAAAAATTCCCAAACAACAACCCTTCTTTGGGTGAATTCAAAAATTTAAGTAACCTTTTTTAAAAAAAAAAATGTTTGAAAATACATATGTATAAATAGGCAAATTGATGTTTTCTAGATGCAATGAAGAGTCGGTAATAATCAGAATTTGGTTTCTCATTGCCTGTAGCAACGTTAGTCAGCGAATCAACATGCAAACTTTGCTTTTTTGCTGAAAAACACTTCTACCATTGGTCCACTTACAACCACCAACCACTAATATATAAATGGACAAACGATTCTATGAAACTTAAATTAAAAATAAATATCAATATATGAATCGTCTTTACCCTTCAGAAATTTTGTTACTTCCATACGTAGTTAAAGGGTTGTTTTTCTAAAATAGGTTCTTAGATTCTTCAGCCTTCTACCACGAAGACCAGCTAGAAGGCCTAATCCGAATAGCCCGCATGGTGCTGCACTACAAATTTCCTCGTTATTTGGAAGACGGTACTCTTACTTTTGCCACTTCCTTGCCGCTGGTTTACAGTAGCGTCTCCAGCCCTTTGGGCGTAGTCCAGTACCTTTGCAGGCAATTGGGGTTGCCTTTAGCTTGCGTACGACCTGTACCAGTTAATACACATTTCGGTAAAAATATTATGAATCAATATTAATAAATACTTATAAATAAAATTATAGGTTCTCACTATACAATGGATGTAGCAGCACTACAAAAAATGCTAACCGATGATAGTGTAATGGGCAAAGTACCACTAATAGTCATAGCAGATGCTGGTACTCCTGTAACAGGCCACGTAGATAACATTGCAAGGATTAAGGAGCTGTGTAAGGCGCACGATTGCTGGTTGCACGTGCGCGGGCACAATTTGTCCGCTTTGACTTTGCCCAACCATTCCAGAAGTAATAACGCTTCACCCGTGGCTGATAGTTTCACTTTGACTTTGGGCAATTGGCTCGGGATACCTGGATTACCCAATATTGTATCCTTTATTTAATCTAGTATTTGGTAGCTATTTTTAAGCTAGGAATAATTATGAGTGGATACTAAAAGAAAAAACAACGTAAATTGAAACTTATAGCCATACATAGGCGCAACTAGGGGGGTACTAAGCACCCCTAAAGCAAAAATTAGCACTCCCATTATGCATCTCACCATAGCACTACCTACAGTGGCACTACCTAAAACTAATATAAAAAATCAATGCAACCAAATTATTAATTTTTTTTGTACTTTTTGTACTTACTTACGTCATCGATGACGTCATAATTTAGAAATCTTAGATTTTACTGTCACTTCTCCGCAATTCTAAATTCACTTTTCCGCGATTGTAAACCCACTTTTCCGCAAATATTACCTCATTTTTCCGCGATTCTTAACTCACTTTTTCACGAATTTACACTCACTTTTTTTGAAATTTTTGACTCTTTTTTTTTTGCTATTTTTGACCCACTCTTTTGCAATTTTGTCTTCACTTTTTTGCGATTTTTGGCTCTTTTTAGGATTTTTGACTCTCTTTTTTGCGAATTTGTCCTTACTGCTTTTGCGATTTTATCTTCACTTTTCCGCGAATTTAACCTCACTTTTTTTGTGATTTTTGAATAATTTTTTTTTGCAATTTTTGACTCATTTTTTTACGATTTTACCATCACTTACCGCGATTCTAAATCCACTTTTTCGCGATTGTGAACCCACTTTTTTGTAAATATTATCTCATTTTTCCGCGATTCTTGCCTCACTTTTTTTTGCGATGTTATCCTCACTTTTCCGCGATTCCTATTTCATTCTCCGCGATTTTATCCTCACTTTTCGTGACTTTATCCTCAATTTTCCGTGAGTTTCATCTTACTTTTCCGCGAGTTTAAACTCACTTTTTTTGAAATTTTTGACTGATATTTTTTTTGCGATTTTTGACTCTTTTTTTTTGCGATTTTATCATCACTTTTTCCGATTTTATTCTCATTTTTCCTCATTTCAAAATAACGAGAATAACGATAATTTTTGAAAAGTTACGAAAAATTACGGGAATTACGTTAAAGTACGTAAAATATGAAAAATTATGAGAATTGCAAACATTTACAAGAATTACGGAACATGACGAGAATCATGGAATAACAATATTAGTTGGGCAAGTAAATACTGCAATATTGCAAGCTACTATGTCCAATAGAATGAAGAAAATACAGAACTTGGGACAAGATTTACCTGAAAAACCCGTTGCTAGTAGCGAATGGCAACAAGTAAAAAGAAGAAATAATAGGCGCTTTTTGGTAGGAAGGAACGAAGATTGTCGTCAGATTCAAGCAGTCCCTAAGTTTGTGGCTCTTCATGTAACAAGGCTTGCTCCTGGCACGAAGCCCGATCATCTGAAGAATCTCTTAGAACCCAATTTTCCAGAGGTGTCATTTGTAGAGCACCCATCAAAATATCCTGACTTCTACGCGTCCATGAAAGTTACTATAAAACAGGATGATTTTAGGAATGCCTGGAAACGGGAGGTGTGGCCTGTTGGTGCTATCGTCTCAAAGTTTTTCAGGAAAAGGAGGATGCTACCACAGGAGGTGGATCCTCAGGAATAAGAATTTCAAGAAAAAAATTAGAAGAGTACAAAACTCTAAATGTGTACTATCAAAATGCTCGTGGTCTTCGAACGAAGATTAGCCAGTTTTATGAGGCAGTCTTGTGTGAGAATTATGATATGGTTGTGATTACGGAAACTTGGCTGACAGACAGTTTTCATGATCAAGAGTTATTTGATTCACGTTACAATGTATATCGGAACAACAGAAGCAATGGGATGACTAGAGGAGGAGGTGTTCTGGTGGCAGTCGAGAAGAAATTTGTAACAGAAAAAATAAATTTAAACATAGATTGTGATATTGAGTGCTTACTGATCAAAATGAGGGTTAGGAAAAAAATATTTTATTTATGTGGTGTATTCCTCCAAACAAAAGTATAGATAAATATGAGCAATTTCTGAATGTCTTTGATTCGATTTTAAATAATAATAATGATGTTTTAATTTTAGGAGATTTTAATATTCCATTTTATCAATGTGACTTGCAAAACTGTGATAAAAATATTCTAGTCAATAACTTTATGAAATTTTATAATCTTGAACAAAGTAATAGTATTTTAAACCACCTGAATAGAAGATTAGACCTGGTATTGTGTAATTATATATTAGAGGTAAGGAGGTGTGAATGTCCTTTAGTTCCAGAGGATTCCTACCATCCATCGCTGAATGTTTTGGTTCCTTTGGACATTACTGATTCTGTAAATGAAGCAGTTTTTAAACCATCATACATGTATGACTATTCAAAAGGTAATTTCTTACTTTTATATAATCTTCTAAAAAATATTGATTGGTCATTTTTGAAACAATTTAAAGATGTTAACCAATGCTTACAAATGTTTTATGATAAAGTTTATATGTGCATTGATCAAGCAGTTCCAAGAAAAAAGCAAAGTACAAATTTTAAAAAGAAAAAATATCCACCTTTTTTTAGTATTGAACTTATTAAAAAAATTAAACACAAAAATAGATTGCACAAAAAGGTACTGAGTGGTAAGGCCAGTTCAATGATTATAGCCGAGTATAAAAATTTGAGAGGCATTATCAAAAGCCAAACAAGACACGAATTTAAATTATATAACAATCATATAGAAAACAACATTAATACCCTAATTCATTCTGGTCTTTTATAAATTCTAAGAAAAGTTGTAATGGTATTCCAACCGAAGTAAGTTACGAGGGCAAAGTATATAGTGATCCTCAAACGGTGGCAGACGCCTTTGCGCAGTACTTTGGCTCGGTATTTCAACATTCTTCAAGCCCTAATTACTCGGGTGGAGATTTTTGTTTTTCACTTGTAAATAAAGAAAAAATTATGACTAGTATTCAGAAACTTAAACCAAAGAAAGCTACTGGTAATGATTGCATACCAGCTTATATACAGGGTGGGGACTTTAACTGGAACTTATTCGCTAGAGCCTTCGAATAAAATATGTGGACAAAACGCAAAAACACGTCGATCAAGATTTTTTGCTTGAGTTTTTTTCACATTAATTTTTTTATACAGGGTGTTCCAAGAACAGCTGTACGGTTGTCAACTTTATCTTTCCAAATGGTAGCCCCTGTATATTATGACATTTCTGGATTCTGCAGAAAATTCTAGACATATTTCATTCACAATGTCATATACCTAGCTTCAACTGTTTCGGAAATATTGACAGTTGAAAATGGACTTTTTTGCAACTTTGACAGGCTGTAAAACCTTAACGGTTAATTTTAGAGGAAAACCGATTTCACATTCCTATCTTAGATTTTCATAAGCTATCATTTGGCACCAACTTTGAATTTAATCCATGATTAAAAATTCCAGTCAAATTCAATCTACAATTAAATTCAAAGTTAGTGTCAAATGATAGTTTATGAAAATCTAAGACAGAAATGTGAACTGGTTTTCCTCTAAAATTAACCGTTTAGGTTTTACAGCCTGTCAAAGATGCAAAAAATTCAATTTTCAACTGTCAATATTTCCGAAACAGTTGAAGATAGGTATATAACATTGTACATGAAATATGTCTAGAATTTTCAGCAGAATCCAGAAATGTCATAATATACGGGGGCTACCATTAGGAAAAATAAAGTTGATAACCGTACAGCTGTTCTTGGAACACCCTGTATAAAAAAAATTAATATGGAAAAATTTCAAAAAAAATCTTGATCGACGTGTTTTTGCGTTTTGTCCACATATTTTATCCGAAGGCTCTAGCGAATTAGTTCCAGTTAAAGTCCCCACCCTGTAAAAGTGTGCTAGTATGACTCCAATTTATAAAGGGAAGGGGGATAAAAGTTCTGTTGAAAATTATAGACCCATAAGTGTATTAAATTCTATTGCTAAAATATTTGAAAACATACTCTACAATGATATACTTGAAACATTTGAAAATTATTTTGCTAAGGAGCAGCATGGCTTTTTGCCTGACAGGTCCACAGTAACCAACCTCACTGTTTTAACAGATACAGCTGCTCAAGCAATTCCTAATAAAAACCAATTGGATGTGATAATGACGGACTGCGCGAAGGCGTTTGATAAGGTGGATCATGGACTTCTGGTCAACAAATTGAATGCATTTGGTTTTTCTGAGAGTGCCTGTAAACTTATGTTCTCTTACCTATTATATAGAAACCAACAAGTGAAAGTTGGAAAGAATCTCTCAAGGAGTTTTATGGCTTCATCAGGCGTTCCTCAGGGAAGTAACCTGGGACCTCTTTTATTTGCCATTTTCATAAACGATTTGCCAGATTGTATTAATTTCTCGGATAGTTTGTTGTTTGCAGATGACTTCAAAATGTTTAAAATAATTAAGAGTACTGAAGACTGTGTGGCTTTACAAGAAGACCTAAATTGTGTTTCAAAGTGGTTTAGCAAAAACAAGATGTTCCTAAATGTGAGTAAATGTCACGTTATAACTTTTACCAGAGGGATTAATCATATAAATTTTAATTATAACATAAATAATTTAAGTCTGGACAGAAAGTTTGAATGCAAAGACCTTGGAGTACATCTGCAATCAACGCTTAAGTTTAACACTCATTATCAGATTATTGTGAGTAAGGCATTCAGGGTTCTGGGCTTTATTATTAGAAACTCTAAGTGTTTCCAATTAAAAACTGTCATTAGACTATACAATGCGCTGGTCAGACCTCATTTAAAGTATGCTTGTGTAATATGGGCACCGCAGGCAGAAGTTAACTGTGATATGATTGAAAAAGTCCAAAAAAGATTTTTAAGATATTTATTTATAAGGACACATAGTGTATATCCTTATATGATCTCTTATAGTTCAATGCTAAGTGAATTTAATATTAAAAAATTGAGTACCAGGAGAAGTATGCAGTGTGTTACCTTTGTATGTCATATTTGAAATAGTGTCAAGTACAGGCACAGTTATTTAATTAATAGAATTGCATTC